AAGTGTGAAATGCAGGCGGCCAGTGATACAGTAGATCTTATTTGTAAACACCGACAAAACCAGCTAAAGTCACAACAGCTCACAAGCTGCCTTTTCTGTTTGCCTTTTACAGATGGTAAGATGATTTATTGATCCGATACAGCACCTGGCCTGAAAATTAACTCACATCCCAATAAAAACCTAATGGCCCGCTTTAGCATTAAAACAAAACTGCATCCTTTCTCTCTTGACCCTTGTGGCTCCCCACTTTTTTTTTTTTTTTTGGTTTTTCGAGACAGGGTTTCTCTGTGTAGTCCTGGCTGTCCTGGAACTCACTCTGTAGACCAGGCTGGCCTCGAACTCAGAAATCCACCTGCCTCTGCCTCCCAAGTGCTGGGATTAAAGGCGTGTGCCACCACTGCCCGGCTGTGGCTCCCCACTTAAGAAAACCATGTAGAAGGTCCACAAAGCATCATCCCTTTCAGGCTGGCCTCCAAGCGAGGCTCCGACTGTGCAGAGAGTAACCCAATCATAAAGTATTTACGGCAGGCCTGTGAGGCCACTGTGACTCATGTTGGGATGCAATGGTGAAAAGGTGGGTCCCACCTTTGTGGAATGATTAGAAGATGACAGAGTATAAATGAATCAACAAAGCCCAGGCAATGACAACTGTGTTATGGCAAGGGACTGGAGCCTATGCAGGTGGGGCTGGGTGAGAGTTCCCCTGGGAGTGGTGGCTGGAAAGACTCATCCTGCTGTCAACGGATGAAGGAAGGGAGAGGATGTCTGCAAAGCCAGGGTATAAGGGTTTCAGGCATCCAGGGGCCCCAGGAATATGGATTAGCACATTCCCAGCACTATGGAGAATTCTATCAGACAGTGCTGAGCTAGAATGTACTCCTGTACTGATGTTGGAAGGAAGAAACTGGTCCTTAGGAAAGGTGGGAGGAGGTGGATGGAAGAGTCCTCTGTAAAGAAGGTCAGGAATCTTCAGAATGTAGTAGGTGGCCCTGCAGAGTGACTGGTGACACTGGAGATAAGGTAGAGGCCCGAGACTTTGTCTGCTGAAGGGTGTTGAGACAGAAGAGTGACAAGATCTGGTTTGCAATCTTAAAAGCCAGTCACTTGGCTCCTAGGAAAAGACTAGACTGGCAGTAACCCAGCGTGGAAGCTGGGGGCGGGTTGAAAAGTTTATCCTACCAAGAGGAAGGCAGTGACGGGCAGGACTAGAGCCAGCATTATGGTTATGGGAGAGTAAGTATGCTCCAGACATACTGGAGAAGTAGAACTCACAGGGCCAATGGCAGCCTGGATATGGGATAAGGGGAACCAGGGATGACTCTTGGCAAATTATCAGAAAGGCAGCGGGGCCATTGATGCGTTGGACAACAGAGGGAAGGTGAACACTGGCGGCGGCAGCAAGAGCTCCAGGGGTGGGCAGATTAGAAGCACAGACCTGTCTTGGAAATAAAAATGTAGGGCTGACGATATATAGGCAGTGATAGTTCAAGCCCTGTGGGTGATGTGGATAAGTTGAGGAATTGGATAAAATGACCTGGAAAGTGAGTGGTGACCCAGGAGCAGCAGCTCCTGAGCACACCCACCACTGGGCGTCAGACAAACGGGCAACCAGTGGGAGCGCTGAACCTCAGAACCAAGGGAAAGGAAAGGCAGATGTGATGTCAGGGGAGCTGAGATGGGGGCTCTCAAGGAGGAGGATGGGCCTCCAGTGAGGAACACTGACTGAGGAGGGGTGGGAGAAGAGATGGGCTAGCATCTAGAAGTTTCTATGCTGAAGTGAAGGCAGAGGCCAGACTGGAGTGTGGAAATCAAACAAATGGTAGAAAAGAACACCAACTATGGGTCTGTCCTATCTGTGAGATGTTGTCAGAGAGACTAGGGGATGGACCAGAAGAAGGACAGGTATGCAGGATTGGGAGAGGGAGCAGCCACTAGCTAGATGTTGCTATTTAAGTCAGGTCCTGAGTCACAGCAGGTGCATTAAAGTGCCCAGTAACCTCAAGTGGCTGATAACCAACCCTATGGCTACAGCACATTCCCAGTACTGCAGAGAGTTCAATGGGACAGTGCTGGGCTAGAATGTGCTCCTATCCCGATGCTGAGGGGAGGGTAAGAAAGCGATCCTCCAAGAAGGTGAAAGGGTCTGGACGAAGTCAGCATCAGTAGAGAGCTGTTGGCCAGTGAGAAAGACTGGCCATTCAGCAAACAGGCGGGAAAGAGTGGCAGCTACTGTATCCGGACTTTAGCTACTTTGTGGGTTCTTCTTTCTTCCACTCTTCTCCATCCTTTTTCCACCTTTCAACCTCCTAACACTAGGCAGGAGAGAGAAAAGGATAGAGGGGAAAGGGGGTGAGGTTATGGTTAGACTGCTTCCTGATGGTTAGGGAGATCAAGTTCCTTGGGGGCAAGTTTGATCTTCACCATCAGAATTTCTAATGTCTTCTTGTTGTTTCTTCTTTACAGATGACTACTTAACAATCTGCAACCAATCAACAACCCACCCTCTTGGGGTCCTATCGTTTCTACCCTCTGAAAAGTCCCCAGAATGTCAAACATCACACAATCGCAGAGACTATCTGCTGCTGGCAAAATCACACCCCTACCAGAGCATGAGGCAAATCATAATCAGCTGCTGTGGACAATCTGAAGCAGCCCCATATCCCAAACCCGGGATTAAAATGAAAACATTCTTACAATATTTCTGTGTTTTTTACAGAAACCAAAATTCTTACTACAAGCTACACTCTTGTTGTAGCAAGAGCAGGAAGACAGAGGGAGTAGTCCGTGACTACTACTTGGTCCAAGAAAGAGGAGACAGGAGTGTGCACAGAAAGGGCAAGCAACATGTGAAAGGAGCCAGTTGAAAACAGCTGCCTCGGGGAACAAGAGCAAACACTGGAGATAGCACATACTTAATGCAGAATGCTTCACAGAAGGAAAAGGGCAGTAAGCACCTGAGGGGGAATATAGCCTCACCAGAGGAAGGAAACTCGGGCAGTTGGTTTTTATTTCCTTAAACCCTTGTTTCATTTGTCTATACTAGAGAGCCCTGAGGAGGTCTGACAAAACTATAGCCAGTTCTGCCACAGGCTGCTCTCACTGGAACTTCTCTCCCATGCTCATCTTATACAACTCTCAGAAAGGATGACAGTAGTTCTATTTTTTTTATTAAAATGGCTCCCTCCATCCACCTCTTCTGTCTAAACTATTTATCTAGGCTTTAACCCCATCTCAATTTACAACCATTGCTTGCACAGTCACATGAAGTACAGAAGAGAATATATGGTAAAATGGCAGGGAGAGGTAAGAGCTACAAATCAGCCCTTAGCTGCAAGAAGTGAGTAATACCCATTTATTGAGCGATGTTAAAATTACATGAAAGACATGTTCTGTGTTTAAACAAAATGCCCAAGCTACTCCTCCCTGCTTTTACACAAACAAAAATTATTTTCTGGTATTTTCTTTGAGCTTTTATGAGTAAACGTTTTCATTCCCACAAACCTATTTTAACCACAGAGTTTCAATATTTGTTTCTGATTTGCAAGTGGGCTCGCTAGTTTTGTGTCATCTGAGGGGTAGGAGCCGAGGAAGAGTTAAAATTAGCAGGTCCTTTTATCTTCCATCTTGAGCTCTACATTTGCTAACTCCTTCCCAGAAATTTTGTTTTTAAGTATGAAACCTCAGAGTCTCAAAGATTCCTGCTGCTCAAAAATCAGTTCTTTCATATCTGCTGAGAGATGACTGAAAATGTTACAAAAATCTGCCTTCTGGGTAGGATGACTGTCTATCACCGGCCTCCCAGTTGTCCAACATAAGTCTTGGATAGGCATCAATATTCCTAGGCAAACTTCCGATGGGCCCTTCTATCCCCCATGTTCCTTCCTGTCGTCCACAGCCATTTGTTCTCCTTCCCCAGCTCTACCTTGCTTGCCTCTGCTCCCTCCAAAACTCTACCAGCCCCATGGAGAAAACCACTCCAGAGGCTTGTCTGGGGTTAAGCACAGTAAAGTCACTGACCCATAGGGACTGGTCAGGCACCAGGACAATCATGACTCTTCCCACTGCACCCATCCCCAAAGGGAAGCAAGTTCTCTAGACCTACCCAGCAGAGGCCCCTGGGTCTCATGAAAGGCTGTTTGAAGAACGCTGGGCTCAGCAGCAGAGGACAGGGCTTTCAGACCCCTGGTTCCCTTACCCATCCTTATGGCCAGTGGCCTAGCTTCTGCCCATGAGCAGCCACGCATTATAGTCTGCCCTTTTACAAATGTATCAGCTGTGCAAGCTGGGAGAAGTCTTCCAACTACTCCGGCCTCGGTTTCCTCTTGTGGAGAGCAAGCACAAAAACCACTCCTTGGATAGAGACTAAACACGATGAGTGTGCGCTCACAACGGTGAGCAGATGTGAAGAGTTACTGTGTTATTAGCACAGTGGCTCCTGACTCACAGCGCCTACTGCTCGGAGAGACGCCGAAGAGAAATCAATCCTGCTTTTAAAATTACTTTATATACTCAGAAGCATTAGTCACTTCAACTGAGTGCTCCAACTCCCCCCCCCCGCCCACCCCCCAAGCATCTGGAGCCTCACCTAGGTTCCTAACAGATTGTCACCGTCCTCAGCCATCTCAACGCTGCCTACAAGTCCACTATTCCTACGCCGAAGGGTTATTATTGGGTGTGTTTCCTTTCCAGGAAAACTTCGATTTCCATGTCGCTGGCTATAAACGCAGCCGTGAAGAACGGCAAACTGCTTTTCACACTCACAAACCCAGGCCCTGGAGTTGCTCGCGCTAGGGGCAAGGAGACCGCGGAATGGCCGAGGCGCTGAGACCAGCCCGGGTGCGGGTCCCCGCCAGGTGTCTCCGCGCCCGGCTGGCTGAGACGGGAAGGGCCGTGGGCTCCGGGCGCAAAGTCCGCGCCCAGGCCGGGGGGCCCGGAGCTCCCGCCGCAGCACGCGACCGGCGGCCCGTAGCCCCTAGCGAGCGCTCCACGAGCTCACTCACCCCATCTCCGGCGCTGCTCCTGCGGCCGCTCCGACGGGGCCCCTGGCGTTCGCTCTCCGCCCGCTCGGCAGCTGCTCCCCGCGCGGCACATGCGGCGGCCCGAGTGCGCCCGGCTCAGCCCCGGCGCCGCTCCATTCCGCCGGCTGCGCGGCTGCTCTGCCGGTGTCTGGGCCGCCGCCAGGCGCAGGCGGGCGGGAGGGCGGGGGCTGGGCGGCCGGGGGCTGGGCGGCCGCGCTCGGGCGGAGCCGCCGGTCCCTCCCGCCCGCTCCTTACGTAACCTCGTGGCCCCCGGGCCGCCGCCGCCCGCCTGGAGCCGGGGGCGCGGCAGCGTGTGCTGCGTCCCCCGCGCCGCCGCGCAGTCGCCGCTTCTTCCCGCAGCCCCCTCCTCTCCTGAGTCGACCCCGCACCCGCGCGCCCTGCCAGGCTTGGCACTGCGCCTCGGGCGGGATGTCCCGCCTGCTGGACTTGAAGTCGCAGCTGGCAGGGACTTTTTGGCCACCTTTAGTTTGCAGACGAGGGAACCGAAGCCCCCCAGGGGCGAGAAATGATGTGACCAAGGTCACATACTCAAATTAGAGCTCAGGTCCCCAGAATCTGAGATGGGCAGGACCACGACTTGCTACCCACCCCTCTTAAAGCCCACCTTCGTCTTCCTGCCTACCTGTCTGGCTGAGTGGCCTTAAAATTCTGGAGGCTAACATGGCAGAGAGGGTCCTGTAACCCAAAGCAGGTGCCCTGAACTATTCCCTGTGTAAAACCAGAATCGCACACCCTCAGCATAGCGAGTTGGCAAAATTTGAGAGGCTTCATCAAGCTTGGCTATGATTCCCTACCAAAGGCCAGCACTGGCGCCAACCTAACCATCATCCCACTCTGGGCCTTCCACGGGATTGTCTTCTGCTGAGCGCACATTGCCCACACAAGCCTGGCATCTCTGGACAGGGACTGGGAGAGGGAGACAAGGACAAACAACTGGAATAGGGCCACCACACTGCCCCTGCCTTCATTTCCCTTTGGGGAACTGTGATCGGCTAGCTAGCTCCTTCACCTCACAAGAGCAACCGCCCCATTTCTAAACAGTGGTCAATAATTTCTTAAGTACAAGTTGGTCTGTAGCTTCCCTCCCACTGTCCTTGGGGTGAGCCTGGCCAGTCCACTACCACCTCCAGCCTTTCTCCTCTCACTTTGCCCTTGCACTCGGCACTCAAGCCAGCTGGCCATTCTCTCGGCCTTCCCACGTGCTCTTCTCTCTGGGAAGATGTCCCCTTCATTCCTACTTGCTTCAGATCTCTGTTAAATTGTCCCTTCCTTTAGAGGCTTTACCGAAGGCCGTGGATGGCATCGTTAGTGTACATTTTTCTTCCTTGTACTTACTGTTAGTAGTACCCGATGTAAAATTACTGGTTTATTATTCCAGACACACCTGCAAACTCTTAGAAAGACGTGGCTTTTTGCCCATCGTTGTGACCCCCACTACCCACAACCGGAATTCAAAATCTCCCACAAATATTTGTTCAATGAATAAGTAAATAGACCAAGCCCTATTTACAAAAAATTGGTCAGGGTCTGTGCACCCAGGTGACTCTGTTTAGAGCCAAGACTAATGAACAGTCAGCCCCAGAGGAAGTTCTTATAACACAAGCTGAATTCCAAAGACCAGGGCTGTGCCAAGGTGCTGAAGGGAAGGTGTCACTAGTAGAGTCCCAGAAAGAAGCCAGCAGCAGAAGGAGGTCAAAAGCAGGAGCCAGAGACTGAATTGAGGGTATGGAAGACAAGACTCTCTGAGTAAAGGAACCAAGTGGTGCTCAAGCCCTGGCTGGGAGGTTCCTTTTGCTCCTCAGCTGGACAGGGTGCACCCACATCACCTTGGCAAGATGCAATGAGACTGAACAGGTAGGGTGGTGAATCACAGCCAGTGGGAGACAGAGCCATCTCAGAGGTCAGGTGCTCTGCAGTTAAAACTGGCTGTCCTCTGCATAGAAGGCTCCGAGGGAAGAGGGAGAGGAAGGGTGGATCAGACTCAAGGTCTGGGAAGAGATGTGCTTTCTTCACCTCCTCCAAGCTCCTCCAGGAAGACCTGTACGGAGAAAGTGGACTCTGCTACTCTGCTACTCTCTTCCTCTCCTTCAACCCCAGGCTTCGAAGAGTTCTCTCAGAAGGTTCTGGACGCCATCTCATGCTCTGGAGTCGTCTTTACCGGCACTTTATCATCATCTTGGACTCTTCCCAAGAGATGGGCATTTCGTTTCCCTGTGAGAGGCCTTCTGTGGACACCAATGCCAGCAAACATTTATTGTGGAACATCTCTGCTCCGTGTGTCTCGGTGGCCCTAGATGACAATGGAGAAGGCTGAAATGAAGAGACTGCTGGTGGCTGAGGCCAGGCTAAAGAGAGCCACATAGGCCAGTTAGCTGGGTATAAAAGGAGCCAGTGATGGGAACAAAGCTGAGAAAGACACATGATCTTGGAGAAAGCACGGGAAGATGTGATCTGGGCCTAGTGGAGGAACTAGTCCTGAAGAAGGGAAGAGGTATTGCCTCAGGCAGGAAAGTCTGGAGCAAGTTTTACCTGGAGGGCATCTGAGGAAGCAAAGACACCTAGTGAGCATGCAGGAGAGAACAGATAGGGGAGAAGTCAAATTAGAAACAGAAGGATTACAACCAAACACTAGGCAGAGCCAGGGGAACCCCTAAGAAGATGGGGAAGAAGGAGTGTAGGAGCCAGAAGGGTCAAGCACAGCAGGAGAACACAGCCCACAGAATCAACTAAGCAGGAGTTCATGGAGCTCACAGACACTGAAGGGACAATCAGATCCTGTGTGGGTCTGAGCTAGGGTCTCTGCATATACCTTATAATTGTGCAACTTGGTGTTCTTGTGGGGGTCCTAACAGTGGGAGTGGGAGGGGAGCATGTCTCTGACTCTTTCACCTGCTCTTGGAACCCTTGTTCTCTGGCTGGGTTGCCTCATCCAGCCTTGATAAAAGGGTTTGTGCCTAGTCCCATTGTAATTGTTATGCTGTGTTTGGTTGATAGCCCTGGGAGGCCTGCTCTTTTTTTTGTGGAAAAATGGAGGAGGGGTGGCTCTGGGTAGAGGGGAGGTCAGGAGGAATGGAGAAATAGAAGGAGTGGAAACTGTATGAAGAATAAGAAAAAAAAAAACATAAACACAGGAGTTGGGATTTTTTTTTTTTAACGAGTGTTAGGACAAAGCCATAGTTGGAAATAGCGGGGCACGTGCTGCTTTTGAAGGCTGGAGGCCACACTTTGACCACCATAAGCTCAGAGACTCAGAACATTTGTCATTCTGTGCGGGTATCAGATCTGATCACTAGGCACAGATCCTGGGCTGAGGATTCTGTATTCTAACTGGACCAGATCAGATCATCTTGGGGAGTTCATCACAAACTATAGCCAAGCCAATAAAATAAGGAAACAAACCGATAGGGCTTAGCTCAGGGTAGAGCGCTTGCCTGGCATTCCTAAAGCCCAGAGCTCCACTACTAGAGTCACAACAAAAGGAAATGGAGCAGTTCCCTTGTGCCCACTCGCTCACCCAACCCCCTGGGCAAAGAAGCACCATGCCTACTCTGTGTCTAGCAAGCTAGTACTCTATAGCCCACTGGCTTCTTGCTCTCAAGAATTAGCTTCTGGAGATGTAAGGCAGGAAGAAGACAAGTTGAGCCCCTGAGACTTCTTTAAAGTTATTATTAGTAGTAGTACTTATTGTGTGTGTTTGCTTTGTTCAAGTGTAGATTTACATACTAAGGTGCACATGTAGACAGCTTTAGGAAGTCCTTCCCTTCCACTGTGAGTTCTGGGTATTGAACTTTACCCACTGAGCCACCTTGTCGGCTTTACTCAAAGCATCTTGTCTTTCCAAAAAAAATACATGGCCCCAAACAATAGCATTCCATCCGTAATTCCAGCACAAAGGAGACTAAGGAACATCACTGCAAGTCCAAGGTCAGCCTGGGCTATGCTGTGAGATGTTCTCTCTAAACAAACAAACCTGACTCGGTATAGACCATCTCAAAGGATACAGAGATTCCAGGCATGTGCTTGCAATCCCAGACACTCAGAGGCAGAGGTGGGAAGATTCAGGCCAATCAGGGCTTAGGAGTGAGACTTTGACTCCCTCCACCCCCCAAAAAGGATATACGACAAGTTAATAGTGAGATGTATAAAATCAGTATATATGGAATGCTTTAAGTTACCGTTGTCATCACGTATCCTCCATGTAAGGATAGGCAGATCTTTAGTGACCTGATCTAAAGAACAGGATATGGAAAATGGAACAGGTCCCTTATAGTGAAAGCCCCAGGCAGCTGCTGATCTAACCATCACCAATGATGTCTCGTGGGTGTTACATGCTTCTTATGAGAGGGTATGGCAAAGAAGGTCTTCACTTATGTGGTATTTCCCTCCGAATCCATAACACCGGTCTATTCATGAGAAGTACTACAGGCAGTGTTAGTGTGAGAAACCATTTGCAAACGACCGACCAATCCTCAAAGCTGTCATGGTCATCACACACAAGAAAAGATGGAAGAACTTCCAAGACCAGAGGAGACTATGGGACTACCAATGTGGTATCTAGATTAGATCCTGAAAGGAGAAAATCTGATTAAATTCAATCTCCAGAAACATGTAAACAGGAGAGAACCAAGTCCACAGACGTGTTCTGACCTCCCATGTACACCATGGCACGAAAGCCCCACCCCCTGACCCCAAATAATAAATAAAACTTTAAAAAAATTCAAAACTTTAAAGTCTAGAGTTTGGTAATAATGTACCCCTGTTGGTCCCTTAGTTAAATAACAAAGATCTTATGGTAATATAAGTTGTTAAAAAGGGAAACTGAGCAGCCACAATACCTTACCCCTTTAACCTGAGCACTCAGGAGATAGAGGCAATCAGATCTCTGAGTTCAAGATGAGCCTTACATAGTAAGTTTTCCAGGCAGTCAGAGCTACATAGTAAGACCCTGCCTTAAAAACAAAACAAAGGCGAAGAGATGCTGTTAAGGGTGCATCCATCTATCTATCTATCTATCTATCTATCTATCTATCTATCTATCATCTATCTATCTTTTCTTCCAACAGCAAAATTAAGCTGGAGCATATAGATACAACATTATCATTAGTGAGCTGGGTGTCTAAAGTCACTGATACAGAGACTAATACATTGTTTCTAACCATGACATAGTCTAATTCGCTTAATTACATATGAAACAAATATCCTGTTAGAGTCAGGAAGTAA